GTTTTCTACCAGCAGCTGGCGTCACAATTTGCAGGCCTATACAAACCACACGGAGCAGTTCGCTTCGGTGTCCTAGGACGGTAATTGGGTAGACTGCGCCATCTCGCAACATCGCTTTTTTTATGTTGATGTTGTTTTAGCCGACATCTGGTGCAGAAGCGACTGTCGCGCTGTTTTCGTGTACACGTACACAGCGGAGCACGTTGTCTGAATCGCGGGTTTGCAGCTGGATTTTTAAAGTTTGCATGTGCGGGATCCATACTTTGCTAACGAGTGAGGGACAAAAAAAATCTCTCTCTCTAACAAGGCTATATACGAAGCACCGTGCGCACATTAAGGCAGTACTGTTTTTTTTTTTTTTTGACCTGGGCGCACGTAACGATTAACAAGTAGTTTGAGTATCACAGCGCAAAAGGTCTGCGCAGTACGACGTCTACGCTTCTCAGACAACACAACAACGATGGTGCATATATATATGTATATATCTATATATTTATATATGTAAAGTAATACCTATATCTTTGTTTCTATACTCGTTCTCTTTCGCGATGCGTGCGAATGGCCCTAAACTTTGACGCTTCGCATACAGCGGCACGGCTAACTTATCCACCTACCGTCTACTACACGCTTGGTTCTATATGTACAGACTTCAGTGTAGAGCGCTTAACAAACGCATTAAAGAACAAACATTGCGTTAAGCAGCCTACGCTGACTGTGTTCACCGAAGGTGGCTTAAGACTGGCGCTTCGATTATGTCAAAGTTTCGCGCAAATATTGTCCTCTAAACTGCGTATCTTCCGATTAACCTCATTCTCATCTTTAACATGTCACTTGGATACAGGAGTACGAGCGTCTGTACTGACTATGAAGCAAGCAGGCCGAATCGTCCAACAGCCACCGGACCTGCGGGAATGTGCGTGCCGTTTGTATCTTCTTTGACAATAGCAGGGCTTTGTTGAACGCGTACGTCAAAAAGACCTTTCTGAATTCAATGACAACCGCTACACGACGAACTGATATTGCCGAATACGCTCTAGGCTTGCTGTGCTTCGTGTGGTGTGCCATTTTTACTATGTATGGCATGCAGTACTATAGGTACACATAATAAAAAAATAATGCGCAATGAGTCAAGTCAATCCGGAATGGGTCAAGTCAAGCCGGAATGCCGTGCGCCTTTTCGCGCAAGCGCGAAGCGTTGCCGGATAGTTTACCAATACGGAGCGAAGTCGAGGACTGTTCAACTGGCTTCAATGTTTCGTGGTTACAAGACTCGTCAGCTGTGACGCACGGCGTAATAAACGGCAGTTTTTCAGTGCAATTTCGGCCACGTCTGCAAAGAACTTCGCAAGGATTGTGAACATCCTTATGACAGAAACAAAAAGGAGAAAGCCAGCAAACGAGCTCAATTATCCGAACCATGAGCAACGGTGCGTGGCGCTTTGAGAAAGAAAACGCGAAACTGGAGAGACATCGAGGAAACGTTGCTAATTTCAGAAAACCATCGCCACGGTACTTTTTCCCATTTGTACGCCAGTACAACAAAAAATAAACAGCGAAAATGTTCATACGACGTCGCAGTTGGCTGGGCTAGCCTTATGCTTTGCAAATTTAAACAAATAGTTAAACACGCATCTGGAAATATATGGCTACTTTCTTTGCCGCTACGGTTTCACAGGTCCGCGCGGCCCGCAATGTTTCTCGGAATTTGTCGAAACACTTGGTCTGGCAGTTTCTAAAAGTACTGAGATGATGATAACGAATTTTTCGCGTCTACTCGGGCATTACGTAAGTGCGGGCCATACGTGGCCCTCGTTCGACATCGCGAATTAACTGACATTGTAGTAGGGTAGCCGTTATACCTTATTGCACTGACATCTGTCGTTTGCTTATTGCTCAGCTTTCGTAACCGTTTGTCCCAGCAGTGGCAACACGAAAAGAGAAATTACGAAAAATACTTTGTTAGTAGGTGTAAGCCATCTCGTTTTTTTTTTACAACAGATATTTAGTTGGCCTTGTTTTTATGCTTGCAATTTACGTCCACAAGGAAAACGACATTCGCGCATTTTCTAATTTACATCGTTCACGCCGACAGCCGGCGTCCTCAAAAAAGGCTCTGCTTGTGACAAGCACGTTGTCGTCTCTATCTTAAAGCAGCAATGATGTGCTATGTGCTATCTTTTTTTATGCATTCTTTCAACGAAGGTCCCATGCCCTCAAGCTCGTACAAAACCAGGGGACCTCACTCGTGCCTCTCATATTCTCCCGTCAGGCACAGCACGTGTCCGGTACGACAAACGAGAGTGCTGTTCAAGAGGTCCACTTAGTCTGCTTCTAATTAGGCGCTCTTTTGTACCTAACAACAGACACTAATACACCGCCTGCGGCCAACAGTGGATCTAGTTCTTATATCCTGTGCACATCTCGTCTCCGTGCTTGTCCATTTTTATTGTTCGTTCCATACTTGTATATGAAATGACCATAGTTTGTCTAGGCATTCTAAGCAGAACTATAGCCGAGAGGTTTTCTAAAGTGGCTTAATGAAGTAGCATCTATACAGCCATTTTCAGTTTCGTTTCCATTGAATTGACCGTGTCGTAGACATCGTGACGTGAAGGTTGGTCAGGAGTGAGCAGGACACGGCAACGTTTCGGCGCTAGCTGCAGCTTTCAAGGTTGTCCCCTGTGCAGCAGCCAGGCGTGGCAGCGTAGAGGATGACCGAGCGAGCCAGAGCGAGGGCCGAAGCGTCGCTAAGCCCTGGCCACACTTGCTAAAGCCACAGTGTTACGACGCAGTTTCTTCCTAGAAGACGAAACTTGTTGCTGTCCATAGCATACAGTTTCATTAAAGTACCCTAGAAGGAAGACTGATCCTATGGCGTCAACGAGAAACATACGACGCATGGCGCTTCAGACAGCTTGGCCATGGGTGGCAGCACATGGACTTGCCTAAGCTTAGTCCTTCTGGCTCTCTGTGACATACGCAGCCGCTTTGCCGCAAATCTAAACGCGGCAAAAGTTCAGCAGGTTTACTTTTCACCGCCTTCAACCCCTCTAGACTGATCACATCAAATCGGCTCTCGATGTTCATCGCGGTCCATTTTTCACCCGAAACGATAACCGAAACACGACAATAAACAAAATAAAAACACTTGTGTGTTCGCAGCTCTAAGCACGACAAATAGTCGAATTCATTAACCAATTCCTATGGTGGCGCACTGATCGCAGCGGCAGACTGTCTTCTAGTGGCTGTTATATGAAACTCCATCAATGGCTCGGCGGACGTCCCGGTCTTCTAATCAATTTCACTTCTTCTCTAGTAATACCCCAGAGAATAAATTTCTAGAATTTAGAGGTGCTGGAGCCTGAGTTATGAGAAAAATCTGACCTTAATAGCCATTCATAAAGCTGTTCTCGACATGCTAAACTATCGACGACGCTTCACATGACTCTAAATGTTTACTAATTCAATATAACCATGATCTGTAATAGCAACTACGTCCAGTCATTGTAGCCCGCAACATTTAACACTGAACGAGAGCACAAAATCGAAGACCACTGAGTTGTTAAACTATATTTTCAGTTATCTGTATCTGCAAAGCTCCCCCTAAGTAAACAACATAACTAAGCTCGTTATGAAGGCACCGTTTAAATATCGCGCATGCAACACTTCATCATGTTCTGGTGTCAAGCTCGGGAAAACAAAAAGGAAATATACTTTATCCATTCATTAGCGAATTTCATAAGAAGTGGCAATATTTTTTCAAGTAAGATAACAATGCACGACTTAAGAACTAACACGAAACTATTTTCGCTGCTCGCTTCCACAATTTACATATGCAGCTTCGAGAAAACAAGCTCTTCAAACCTTGAACAGCTTCTAAACAAGTAAATGGGACATGTCGAAACCTCGTAAGCCACCCGACCACTCAACCGCACGCGAGAAACGTTCCTCGCGGTGAACTTGAGCAAGAACGCAATAGCGGCCGGGACAGCTGCGATTCTGTATGTCTTGTTTTTTGCAGTGTGTGCATGTGTGTACTTGTGTTTAGTGTGCGTGTGTTTTCATTATATTATCATCATCTATATTGCTCTAGGGGCCTTTCACACTACGACTGATGAGTCTCTTGTTTCTTTTTTTTTTTTTGACACCCCAAAGGGTTTTTTCGATTTTTTTTTCTTTCATTCGAGCTCTTCTTTGTATAGATGCTACGGACACAAGTGCTTAGTGATGAGGCCTAAGACACAAACTAACGACACATTCGATGAAAAAGGAAAACGAAAAATAAGAGGACGCGATCGTCCCACAGTGCAACTGCTTTCACTTCGTTCGGCGCTGCCCTTCGTAGGACTTCAGTGGACGATGGGCTCGTAGTTGGCAAAGGGTAAATGCATTCGGGAAATGCTTTAGAGAAATGACTTCTGGAAAATGCCTACTGTAAAATGCCTTCATGGTAAAGTTTTTCAGTTCTCGGCTTCGAAAAGTTCAGCTAAGCCCGGCTACGGAGAACTTTTGGCAGCAAAAGCACACAGCTTCGACCCCCCAAGGGTGCGTGCCGGCACCTTAGGCAACTTAGTTCTTGTCACTACGGTTATGGCTCACGCGTTTTTGTACTTCCCTGTCTTTCGTTGTCTCAGCCGGACGCGCGCGGTGAGGTGGCGCTGCGAGCAGCTGCGATTGCCTTACGTCACTGCGTGTGCATATTCATTTTTCTGGTGTACGCGACCGAGCTTGGTGGGGAAACAGAAAAAGGCCCGTGGCTTCCGTGATCAATTCCGACAAAGCTCATCGCGGAGGCCAAAGAAAATGCTTCCGATAGTTCGGGGTTCGTGCACCAGGTGGCGCCACGGAAACCGCGGGGACGAAGGCGGCTTTAGAACGAGACGTGCCACAGGCTGTGATGTACTGATGCGCTTGTGACGGCGCGTGTAAAGATTTGCCCTCTAGCGAGATGTGGACAGTTATATAATCAGCGCGATCGTAAATGAATCACTGCAGTTGTAGTTTGCAAATGCATGCTCTTCGGAGGTTGCCGTGACACTGGTTCAAACTGCGTGTACCTACGTATTTGTTTCTTCAGTGGCGAATGGGAATGACCTTTCTTCTGCAAAGTTTAGTGTAAATGGAAGGGGGGAGGGGGTCCTCTGAAGAACGGCACCGAAGGAAACCTGCGAGCAGTTGCTACCACTCTCCTTTTTTCGTAAATGCAACTCTATAGGCCACTATAGCACGTTGAGAAAGGGGCGCGTTGTGTTGGGCGTCTCCTTGCAGCCCTTCGTGCAGGGAGACGCACTGCCGAAAGCAGAAAAAGCAAGTAAGGCCCGAGCCCGCGTGAAGCTACGGCCGCAAGACCTGCTCCCTAACGTTACCTGTTGTGAGGAAGGAAAGAGAAATGTTTAGGTAAGGGAGGGAGAACAGCAAGTGTTCTGTCAACTCCTGAACCTGTGCTGAGAGACGTTGATTGAAACTTTCCTCCCATCACGCTTTCCCCGAAGGATACTCGCAAACGAGCATGATTGCCGCCTCTCGTTTTTTTTTTCTATTTTCTGGACTTGCGGACCATGCTCCAAGACATCCGGCGTTATCGATCAATAGGGTTGATGGGAGTGGGTGGCCGAAGGGTGGCCAGAAGGGGCTGCGCAGAAGTACACACACACACGACTTGTCTTCGAGTTGTTTTTCACTAACACGTACATACACGCTCACGACGGAAACTGTGTGGTTTGGGCTGATTGTTTCTCTGCGTTTGCCTATACATTTTCTTGCGTCGGTGAGTGTTTCACCACGTGCGCTTTATTATATTGCTGCACCTGATACGCGCGCCGTTCCAGGCGGCGGACGACTGGAGAGACAAACCACAAGCCGAGAAATATAACAAAAGTTGAACGGACAAGGGGGGACTCGCATGGAGCGTGGCCTTCTCAGGCAAGAGCCACGAGTGTGAAGACTGAGACGGCGGACACAGCATATACCACGCGACAACGGACATGAGATACAATTTTGCTTGTTTCTCCATGGAGCTGGTAGAAGTACACCTATAGGGACAGAAGATGCACGGACACACGAACAAGACACAACGAATGAGTTTAGTCTCGCATCCTGCAGAGTCGACTAGGTGAACCGTTAGAACTGGTATTGCGACCGGTCATGGTTGTGGCTTGGATAACTGGCAGCCACTTGCGAGTGCAGTTATGTTTTTTGCAGGCTTTCATGGGCTCCTAGATAAGGGTAAATGCAGCAGTTACTTTTGGCCTGCACGCGTTAGCGCGTTAAAGCCAACGACTAGATTGAATTCGATGCTGGACATTCATGGGGGCTCGGGCCTTGCCGCTGTGTTCTTTTATTTGTCTCTCTCTTTTTTTTTGCATCGTGCCATGTGTGTGCACAGCGTTCGCGTAAAAGCCACCGTAGCGCCTCGTCCATCGATTTGCACCGACGGAACTGGCGCGATCTGTGGTAGCAGGGACGAGATAAAGAAGGCCGGACTCTTCGACACGCCGCTACTGCCCTTTGCCGAACGGGCCTGAACGGAGTCGCGCGACCGGCACCTAAACTCTAAAAAAGACTTATCGGGACCCGATCTAGACGATCAGGTCCTTCTGACCACCAAAACCACGCCTGTGTGGGGAGACAGAGGGTCCCTAACCATCACCGGGACGTGAACAGAACCAGGGCCAAGACTCTTAGGCAGCCCACTCGTACAATATACTTGAAGGACCCGACCAGAGCACTAAGCCTTAGTGCGACCAGCTCCTCCGACCAAAGCCGGTAGGGAGCAGAAACCTAAGTTACAAACAGGGCCCAGTTGCACAAAACCCCGCCTGGCCAGACCGGCAGCTGGCGTTGACCACAGCGTGGTCGTAGGTAACCTGAGCTGAGCTTGCCTTAGCTGTCTGCAAAGAAGGGCAGACAGGTCAAGCCTCGTGACGTCTGCACGGGATTAGTGGGGGGTGTCTTGGGGTGTGGGGTAACCTTTTGGGGGAGTTGTATCGGCGCTCTTTCCTTGACGCGGCTGCGGGGGGCGACCTCGGTCGCCCGGGCGGCACTTTGACACGGTGGGAGGAACGGGGAGAGCACTATCCTCGCCGCATTGCATAAGTTTCAGGTACGACAACCCGGGCTGCTGCTTCTCTCTGGTGGCGGCCCTCGTGCGGCTGCTGCAGCTGCATAGAGTGTGAGGACGCTACTGGTGCTCGCCGTCCAGCGCTTCCAGGTACTTTTGGTCGATGAACAGAGTGACCACCTTGTGCCTGCGTCAGGAAAAGGAGGCCGAGTTAGAGAAAGCAAATTCTCGTCGACGCGTCGTGCACGCACGTGTGAAGCCTACAACTCCCATTGCCGTTTCTGTCTCTTGTATTTCTGTAGTTCTCCACTTTCGATAACGGCCTTCACCTTCGGAAGCATGCTCAAATTATCGAAGCTATTGAAACCGCTCATTCTGCTCGCTCTGAGCATCTCCGTTAAAGGTATACCGAACGCAATTTTTGCCAACAACTTATTCAACCCAACTGAAAGATTAGGTTCTGAAATCGATAGAAACAACCTTCATTGCAGGCAGAAACTACAGTTAAATAACCAATTTATAGCGTTTTTCAGAAACTTCTGGGTCTAGTGGCCGCGCCGTGAACTACAGATGGTGACGTCACACCCACCCGGAACGGGCGAGACAACAAAGCTGCAGCCGTCGCCAGCGTCTTTCGAATCTCTCATCTCCCCTACGGTTCCCAGAACCGGTATGAAGTCCACCGGTAGGAAACCTAAGAATGTTCCCGGCTGAGGCAAAGTGTGGAAGGGGGACACTGGAATAAAGGAGAGATGTAGAAAAGGGAGAGGAGGACGGGAACTCGTGCACCCTGCATGCGCCTCGACGATTGTGACGTCACGCCTCCCGCTCGCGCGCCGCCGCCGTGCGCCGACAATCCCATCAAAGATAGAGCCACCTGTTCAAAAAACGCGGGAAACTGACTCTGTTTATCAGAACAGTCGCATCTTCCGAGTAGGATTACGAAGTCTCGTCAGTTTTTTTGCGATTTTTCTTCGGTATCTCTCTAAACCTTGCTTTAACTGTGTGGCTCCGCACTGTTCGTTAGATGTCACTCTTAAGCGACGGGGATCAGAAAGTCGTGGGTACAATATCGACCATGACGGAAGCATTTTGAAGGAGGCGAAATGCGGCTAGATTCTCGTGTACTCAGTGATGATAATGCTTCTCTACAGATAATCACATGGTCAGGATTTTCGAAGCCGTTCATTTCGGCGTGCCTTATCATCATATCATGGTATAATTTTTATAGTCAGTTACAATCGAAGATATGTAACAGCGCACGAAACTAGAAAACTATAACACAAATTCAAACATCAGCTTCGAAAATTCATGTTTAATGAATAGCATCTTCTATTAAATGTTCTTCAAACACAATCATAATTATGTAGTTGTGATTGGTGTCTGCTTTTAATATGCTACAGTTTCTTCTCCCTAATATTTCTGTGTTTTACATTGTACTACTATTCAGAATAACCATTGTTTATATCTTTCTTGCTCTGTACTATAGCCACGAGGTCGTGACGTGAACGAAAGGAGCAGATCCCAGGTCAAAGAAGAAACTGTTTATTCGGGCCGAACTTGTGGCTACGTAAAAGGAAACTAAGACACTGACACTGGTAGCTGCGAACAGAGCGTCGGCCGTCGATCAACTGACAAGCGGCGAAGCATTTCGCCATTTGTACCCTTGCCATCGAATATTCTAGCCTTATCACAAGCGGCGGCGTAGGTTCCCGAATAATCTGTTACATTTCCAAAGTGGGCGTAATCATAACAAAACGATCTACTAAAGCCTCGAAGCCTCTCGAACATCGTAGGCGTGGTTTGCGCTGAACGTAGTGTAGCGTGGTGATAACTATAGGAAAGGAACGTGGCCCTATGAATACTATGCTGCATGTATTTCGCTTTTATGTAGTATTTCCTTTTTTACCATTACACTAAGGTCCCCCTATAGTGTTTACACTATAGAACCCTTCTCTGTATTAATATGTCTATATTGTGCATATGTTTGCAATACTGAATAAACTTCGAACAGACAGAGAGTAAAAAGTGCTGTCATGTGCGAAGCTTCGCGTTTGTATGCAAGGTATTCGCGTGGTTGGTTGCAGTCATTTTCCCTTCGTTCTGGTGCGCTGAATTTCGTATGAATGGGTGCACTATAGGAAACAAATCAGTCTGTGAGAAGCCCTGAAAAGTTTTGATCCGTTCGGGGTCAAATATAATATGCGACAGAGCGAACGTGTCACAATGGGTCAATGCATGTTTTCGGCACTCTCTGTTGTAAAAAAACGTGCGAATATTTGAACTATAGTTCAAGCAGGGCAAGCAAACGATAGCATCATTCGGTGATACAATATTTTTTTTATTCCTGGACTGCAATCTTTAAATTTTTTTCACACATGGTTTGTTTGTGCTATCGCAGCGAAGTCGAGCGTGAGCGCGCAGTCTCGATTTCATAGCGATGATGGCATGTGTTTGTTGCTCACCAACTGTTGTCTATTTTGTTGCTCGACGTTTAGGCGACTCATTATCACTCGCTCGTTTATTGCTCGCTGGTGTGCACGAAATGAAATGAGAAGGTCTGGTATATGAAAAAAATCACTGCCATATGCACAAAGCGAATGTGAGGAGCTTGGTTGGAGGTGCGCGGGTCGTTTCTTGGCGAGACCATTTCTGTAGGAAGGCTTGTTAACTGAGGCGGCGCATGATATGTTTTCGGGCACATTTGTCGGTCGTTATGTGTTGTCCGGCATAGGCCAGCGTTGTCGGGCACGTTCCGCGGCCGGAACTGCCCTTTGTTGGCCACATCGATGGGCACGTTAACCACCTGCCCATTTATGCCACACTGGCCGCTGCCTGGGAGTTAAATGCCTAAGCGCTTACAAATGACAGACGTGAAGATATTAGGCGTTCTTCAACGGTGTCGCCAGCCGGAAGGTGAGGAAGCTTGGGAAGATATCGGCGCCCTTGCGTAACACTCATCGTAGGCACTTGTCATGTGCAGCCGTGCCTACGAAGCGACGAGAGCAAAGTGGACGTATTCACGAGGAGGCGAGTGCGCGGGCCATTGAGAATCTACATCGATGGATGGATGGATGGATGGATATGGCTGTACCCTCTAGATCGGGCGGCGGCTAGCGCCACCAAGCCTTAATACTTAATGAACCAAAAACTAGATTTATTTTTTTTCCTTAAATAGTGAGGTTGAGGATTCGTACTTAGCAGTGAAGGGCTTAATTTTCACTCGTGCCTTGACTTTAGCCACCAATCAGATAACCTCCTTCTAGTTAATTCTACCCGCTTAAAGTCTATTTTGCCCACACTGTCCCTAAGCCCCAGTGCTTTGAAAAACTCTGCGCCATCATCCTGAACTATAGGGTGAAGCCCTTTACAGAACATTACCAAGTGTTCGGTAGTTTCTTCGTCCTCTCCGCAAGCACTGCATACCGTGTCTACACCTTCGTATTTGGCCCGATATGTCTTGGTTCACAATACTCCCGTACTGGCCTCAAACAGTAGAGAACTACTACGAGTATCATCATAGATCTTTTCCTTGGCAATTTCCTGCTTAAAAGTTTGATAGATCTCTAGTGCGGACTTCTTAATCATGCCAATTCTCCACATATCGGTCTCAGCTTACTTCACCTTCTTCTTAACCAATAATTCTTTTTGGTTTGGCCCCCTGCTATTTTCCAAGTATTTACCAGTCAATTTTCTGGTTCGCTTCCACCATTTTGTATCGTCATTCTTCATGTACAAGTAGCTTAATACCTTCCTAGCCCAACGCTTCTCCCCCATTTCTCTCAACGGCTTCTCAAATTTTATCTTGCTGCTAGCTTTCCTGCCCTCAAATGATGTCCATCCCACATCACCTTGTACTCACTTATTTGGTGTATTCCCGTGAGTTCCTAAGGCAAGCGTACCTAATCCACGTTGCTTAATTTCCAATCTTGCTTGAGCTTCTGATCTCATGCACAAGACCACCTTGCCGAACGTTAGACCAGGAACCATGACCCCTTTCCATATTCCTCTCACAACAACATACCCATTGTAATTCCACAGTGCCCTGTTTTTCATTACCGCTGCATTCCTGTTACCTTTAGTCGACACGTATATCTCGTGTTCCCTTAGGTACTTGGTCCCATTGCTTATCCATATGCCCAGATATTTGCATTTATCTGTTATCTCTAGCGTGACCTCCTTTATTCTATGCTCCCTACATTCATTATCATTAAATATCATGACTGCTGATTTTTCCTTACTGAATCTGACATCTAACCTATCTCCCTCCTTACCGCAGATGTCCATCAATTTCTGCAAATCTTCCTTGCTGTCGGCCATTTGCACTTTATCATCTGCGTACATCAATGCTGGCAGTGCCTGATCAATGAGTTTGACTTGTTTGACGAAAGAGAGGTTGAAGCCAAGTCCACTTCCCTCTAATTTGGCCTCTAGTTCTTGTAGGTACATTATGAATCACAAGGGAGACAGAGGACACCCGTGCCTAAGCCCCCATTTTACCTCTGTGGGCTTGGATACCTGTTTTTCCCATTTGATAGCTACCTTGCTACTTTTCTAGATATGCTTTAAGAGGTTAGTAACTGCATCTTCCACACCTAGTGTGTCCAGTATTCCCCACAAGGCCTCTTGAACCACGCTTATCGTACGCTTCCTTGATATCCAACAATGTTAGCCACAGGAGCCTGTGTTACTTTTCTGCTATTTCGATGCACTGCGTCAGTGAGAACAGATTGTCTTCGAACCTCCTGCGTTTCTGAAACCCATTCTGCAGTTCCCCCCCGCACCCCCTCATCCTCCATCCATGCCTGCAGTCTTTCCTTTATAATCTGCATCGCCAGCCTGTAGACCACTGATGTCACTGTTATAGGACGGTAGTTGTTTATGTCAGCTTTGTCCCCCTTTCCTTTATAGATCATGCTCATCCTGCTAAGTTTCCATCCATCGGGAACTTCACCATCGATTATTATTGTGCTCACTGCCTCTCTCAAAGCCTGCTCAGACTTCGGACCTAATGTCTTTATCAGCGTAATTGGAATGCCGTCTGGGCCTGTTGATGTACTACTAGGAACCCTTTTTTCAGCCCTTTCCCACTCTTGTTGTGAAAATGGAGCCATTGCGCCACTTCATGCATCCTTGTATATTGTGGTGCATAAAGCATTTCTTTGTTTAAAATTTTCTGTCACCCTTGTTCTTGTATATTCAATAGCATCGTCCCCTTCTAGCCTAGCACCTTGAGCCGTAGTTATAAACCTCTGCTCTATGCTCGTCTCAATTCTTAGGGAGTTTAGATGGTTCCGAAATTTCGCAGCTGCCTTTCTATCTTTTTTATGTACTTCTGCCAGCCACTCGGCTCCCTTTCTTCTAATCTTTTCATTTATCAGAACGCATGCTTCCCTTCTACAGCTTAGAAAAGATTTCCAATTTTCTTTCAACATCATCTGTTGGTTCACCCCACTGCTTAGCATCACTGTGTTCCCCAGAGGCTTCCTGACGTTTTGCTATGGCTCTCTTAACTTCCTCAATCCACCAACTTTTGGGTTTGTGTCTTATTTTCCGGGGTGACTTGTCACGTGACTTAGCAAGCTCTAGCTTAAACAGTCTAATTAGATTAGTGTATGCCCACACTGTTTTATTATCCTCAGTGATTACTTTCTCAGTTTGTTTAGTGGCTATTTCAATTTGCCTTTCCGAATAAAACTTTTCCTGTAGTTGCTCATCTTGTCTCCTTCCCACTTTCACTGCTAATCTAAAACTTAGCTTGATACGTTTGTGATCACTAGCCAGACTTCTGGAGCCACCTTCATCTATGTGCATTCCCCTGAGCTTATCATACATCCTATGTGACATCAGTGCGTAATCTATCGTCGACGGCAGCCTTCCTACCTCCCATGTTATTTTCTCTTCACACTTCTCGGTACTGTTGCCAATGATCATATCATGCCTGTCACACATATCCATGATCATTTTGCCTGTTGGGTCGGTATACCCTTCTATATATTCTATGCGTGCTTTCATATCTCCTAGTATGATTATCTCGCACTGTCCTCTAACTCCTGAATGTCCTTTGACATACACTCTACCATTGCCTGGTTTTCCTCTCTGGCTTTTGCTCCTGTTCACAAGTACACGAAACCAAGAAGTGCCATATGCCCTGCCACTTTCCCGTAATACCTAATGAACCAAAAACTATATTTATTTTTTTCCTTAAAAAAGAGTTTGAGGATTCGTACTTTGCAGTGAAGAGTTTAATTTTCACTCGTGCCTTGACTTTAGCCACCAATCAGATAACCTCCTTCTAGTTAAGTCTACCCGCTTAAAGTTTATTTTGCCCTCCCGGTCCCTAAACCCCAGTGCTTTGAAAAACTCTGCGCCATCATCCTGAACTATAGGGTGAAGCCCTTTACAGAACATTATCAAGTGTTCGGCAGTTTCTTCTTCCTCTCCACACGCACTGCATACTGTGTCTACCCCTTCGTATTTGGCCCGATATGTCTTGGTTCACAGTACTCCTGTTTTAGCCTCAAACAGTAGAGAACTACCCCGAGTATTATCATAGATCCTTTCCTTGGCAATTTTCTGCTTAAACGTTCGATAGATCTTTAGTGCGGACTTCTTAATCATGCCCATTTTCCACATGTCAGTCTCCGTTTCCTCCACTTTCTTCTTAACCGATAGTTCTTCTTGGTTTGGCCACCTGCTGTTTTCTAAATATTTACCAGTCAACTTCCTGGTTCGCTTCCTCCATTTTGTATCGCCATTCTTCATGTACAAGTAGCTGAAAACCTTCCTAGCCCAACGCTCTTCCCCCATTTCTCTCAATCACTTATCAAATTTCATTTTGCTGCTAGCTCCCCTGCCCTCAAATGATGTCCATCCCATATCACCTTGTACTCCCTGATTTGGTGTATTCCCGTGAGCTCCTAAAGCAAGCCTACCTATTCCACGTTGCTTACTTTCTAATCTTGCTTGAACTTCTGATCTCATGCACAAGACCGCATTGCCGAACGTCATCCCAGGTACCATGACCCCTTTCCATATTCCTCTCACAACATCATACCTATTGTAATTCCACAGTGCCCTATTTTTCATGACACACCTTGGGTGGCAGCGTGCCACTCAGTGAGCATTGTTGAAATCACCAGGGACGCGACTGTAGCGCCGACATTGCATGGCGACAGGAGAGTTGTACACTGGCAACACTCGCATACACGCCAACGCTGCAGGACAGGACGCGAGCATAATAAGCTTGCCGAGCAAGTTCCCTAAAAGAGGTGCTTGGTTTTTAGATGGCAGCGAGATTCTCTTTCTTTTCTTCATTTGAAAGTCGTGGTATTTGATTGAATTTAGGGGAGCGATGAAGGGAAGACAGTTAGACATTTTCTTCAGCCGGTGAGGCTCTAAGTGCACCCGGCCTCGAGTCTACAATTAGCATAAGAGGTATTTTGTGTTTATTTTTTCAACTACATACATCGTCTAGCAGTTGTACAGCTTTTTCCAAATTTCGGACTGTCATTTGCAAAGCTAAGCAGCGATATTTGATAGTTATAGAAACACTACACAGTTGTAACAACGTGACTTTTGTTTCTATCTTAGAAGAGAATCAGCTCTGCTGTATATTGTTGTGTGACTTGTGACACTTGGTTGTTGAACACACATAAAATTGTCTTCCCGAGGAAGTTATTCGACACAAAAAGCAACAGAAGTCACATTAGGGGCGAAGCTCCTAAAGCCGTGGGTCTGTACATGCATCTCTCTTTGTGACCGGTTCGGAACCACCTAGTTGTATGACTCACTCAGCTGGTGGCACTAGTGTGAGTGACAGACAGACGGACGAACACACAGACATACGGATGAACGGACAGGCGGATGGACGGGTGCACGGATGGACTGATGAACGCATGGACAGACGCATGGACGGAAGCATGGACAGGCAAACGCGCGGATGGACGAAAGCAAGGACGGACGAACTGACGGAAGCATGGACGTGCAGAGAGACAGACGGACGGACAGACAGACTCAGGGATGGATGTACGGGAGCCCGACGGTAGCCCGACGGAATGTTCTATAGATACCATGCACATTAGGGGCGTGTTTAGAACAAATGTTGGACAATTTAGCGTGCGATGTACTCTCCTATAAGAGAGCATTCAGCTGTCCCGCTAAAGCACATGGTCAAACTGCTAAAATACGCTGTCAAACTGTGTTTTTTTTTAGACGAAAATGTTTAGAAGGTTTTAACGGTTCAAAGTACTTGATATATTATGGGAGAGCATTAAGCCGTCCCAGTATAGTTAGCCTTTGAGCATTACTTTAGGCGATCATGACCACAAAGATCACTAGAAAAAAGCGGTTAATGATGTAGAGTATACTCGGTACTCTACTATCAAAGAGCGTAAAGCCGTCCCGTGGGCCTCACAAACGAAATTCAATATTAAAACTCTGTATGGTGTGTTTAAAGGAAAGTGTTTAACAATTTAGATTACTTGGTATTTTGCTGTGGTACAGCTGAAAGCCTTCCCGCGGGCCTCACACTTGATGAGGCTGCATCGACAAAAATTAGGGCTTGATTGCCAAGCAAGGTGTTTATAAAAAGTGTTTAATGATTTAAAATACATGGCACTCTACTATGGTAAAGCATAAAGCCGTCCCGTCGGCCTCACACTTCATAATTACCCACCATAGAAGTCGTACTGCCATGAAACAACTGCTTCAAACACTAAAAACACAGTGCTATTGTTTAATAACTGTCGTAAGAGCTCTCCGGATGTTCAAGAGTTTTCGCTAAACATTTCTTTCTATTTGTGAAAAGCATAAACAACAGACATAGTACAGAATGTATCATTTTGTGAGGCTAAGTTTATCTATGTCAACAAGCGCACTCATCCCATTTAGCGTGCGATATTCGTATCGATATCAAGGACATCGATTTAGAGATAACGTAGCTCGCCGGCCTGCTGCGTCATATCTTGGGCAGTGTAATAGCGAATAAATGATTCACTACGGTTCCAACCCAATAAGCTCCAACCGCCGATTCACGCCACTGTCATCCTCAGACTGCACGGCACACTTTGCATCCATGTCATTGCTTAAAACATCCAGATACCATGTAAAATAAAAAAATATATATATGAACAAAAGCTTTAGTGCAGTATACCATCACTTCAATTATGTGCAGCTCTGTCGCATATAGTTGCCCTTTCATTCTACACAGCACGCAACGTCATTCAATATATACATTTATGAACCGAAATTTTTACCATTATCCTCACGTACTCAATATGGTTATTTAATTAACGCATTTCCCTGATAATAAATAAACAATTTTCATGTTTGTTTGCTATAATTGCTATACCGCACTGATTGCAATAAGTGAGTGTGCAGTGCTGCCACCGCACAAAGCAGAATGAAGTGAACCTAAAATGCTAAGACAGAGGGTAGAGTATATGGCCTCAACTAGGCGTCGCAAGTGGGGGGGAGGGTGGAGTGTTGGGCGGTTCGGGAGGAAACAGCGTCACTAAGGCTTCTTAAACGACTCCCAAGACACACAGCATAGCATGTTCGAATTGTCGACAGAAACAATAAGCTGAATGTCATTCGGGCTTCTTCATCTTGCATATTTGGTAGCTGAACGTTGACAAGCGCTCACTAAGTAAGTTTAACAACTGAATTTTACAGACAAGCAAACGTGTGGTGTTTCGTCGCACTGTTACATCAAGGACAGCCAACCCACACTGGTCTCGCTGATGCACCAATTTCTGTTTTTAAAATGATGCGTGACTGTGGAACGGTGATGACCCATTTGAATGACCGACCGCCTCCTACTTTTGTTCCAAGTATGGTCCGCACTGACCGCCCTCACACACGGACCAATATAGGCTCACCCGGCGTATTACACGACGAGGTGTATAGGCACCCACCTGAGTGGCAAGAGTAGCAGGATGATGACGGGGAAGACCATCTTTACGTAGGGCCACGGCGCGAACCCGAAGAAGCACATGACCAGGAGCTGCACCACCTGGCAGACGGTGAACACGTGAATCTTGCGCTGCGGGCAGCGCCGGATGTAGTGGTTGGGCGGGTAAGCGGCCTGCTCCATGAAGAGGAGCGTGATGCGCTCGAACATCTGGTTGCCGTTGAGCGACGTGATGGCCATGTAGAGGAACAGTCCGTCCAGCACCGCGGTCGGGATGTGCGCCAGCGGGTAGGGCAGCATGAACACCGAGAGCCCGATGAGCAGGTGCGAAATGGCGCCCGTGAGCCGGGTCTCACGCACGCGCACGATGATCTCGTACACGTGGCCCTGATCTACGCGTTCTTCGACGTCGGCCATGCTGCGCACGTGCAACGGCGAGTGCGGCAGCACGCCGTGCATCCAGGGCAGGCCGAACAGCGAGAGGACGCCGTTCAGCAGGCCCACGACCAGCAGGTCGAGGTGGTAGGCGGCGCCCTTTTTGAGCTTGTTGCACGGGTTGTTGACCACCGCCGCGGAGATGTTCTGGTCCATGAAGAACAGCAGCGACAGCGCGAGGCCCAGGCCCATGGCGGCCAGGGCGGCGGGCCACTTCAGCGCCTCGACGCGCGCTCGCACGAACTGGTCGCTGTGGCCGAAGTGGAACTGTTCCGCTGCGCCCCGGCACGAGGCGACTCAGTATGGCGCATATAAGTAGAGCCTATAACAGGCCACCGCTATAGAGCACTTCAACAGGCTATCGCTAGGTGCAGAACACCCGTGATCACCATCTTATGAGACAAGTACACGGCAAATATAAGTTCAAAGGAAGTGAGATGCTTGAAGCAATTAAAAATCCTTGAAACATAGGTTGTCGCTCTAGCCGACGTTCGCACAAGCGGTTTTGTCTTCTCCAGTGCAGCAAGCCAGCATCCAAGTAACCTTCAAGGCAGCTGCCTCGAAGACGTCCGCTAGTCGTAACGTTGGCCCCACGACGGCCTATATTACAAGTACTTTTTATGAGTGTACAAGAAGCAAGGCAATGACCGCTGAAACATTTGTGCTGCGTGGGATGCGACATGTGTGGGGCGACGAATGTAGTGTAATATACACTCGAAACGAGCTGGTATGACAGATTAGTCTTATGCTCAACGTTATACATAGTGACATACCAACAGGCTTAAGTGGCAATTGCGGGTGCGGGATAGGGGAAGGCAGATGATGAATTTGACATTAGTATAAGACAAGGAGGTATAAGCTTAAATTTGGGTGCACGTTAAAAAGCCCCAGGTGGTCGAAATTTTTGGAGACCTCCACTATGGCGTCTCTCATAATCATATATGGTGGTTTTGGGACGTTAAAGCCCGCATATCATATCAAGGAGGTATAAGATAACCTCAGGAAAACTTGGCGTCAATGGGAAGGGCTATGGTATAACCGTTAGTGGGGCGACGACGCGGTTCGCAACTTCGAACAAACCGTGAGCTGAAGATTTCTGTTAAGGCTCGTTCACATCTGTGTTCGAATGAACTCGGAAATCGTTGCGCGTTACAGACATAAACAAGAGCACTGTGCTCCTGTATACGTCTGTTATGCACAACACTTTACGAGTATTGACAAACCAGATACCCGTCTAAACTTCGCATGAATCCTCAGCTGACGTGGCCATTTGAAAGTGAACGTCCCTTTCTAATATCACATATGGCCCTTTCTTTAAAAATATTGTGCCTCGAGACTCCAGAATGACCAAAACACGAATGACGATTCTGTGATAGAATGTTTTTTGTTGTACGGTTGCATTTCAACGCACAACGACTGCATGGGGCGGCACACAAAACACATGGGTAGTAGACAGCCATGCACGGACCCCGGGCTGCTATAGCGAAAGGTGCGGGGACCCGTGTTTGTGACCTTTGACGTAGGTTAAGCTGCACTCACTCTCGACCTCTCGGAAGACGAACGAGCCGAGGAAGCTGAGCGCGATGACGGCCACGGGCAGCGCGTAGTCGGCGAGCATCTCACGCTTGCTGGCCTGCAGGTAGGGCGTCTTGTTGAAGTTGTACAGGGACACGGCCAGCCACACGGTGCCCAGCATGAGCAGCAGGAAGAGCAGGCTATTCTCTCGCCGGCACGTGGGCAGGGCCTCCAGCAGGGCCTCGGCCGCCGTCGTGTTGTTGGTGGCGGCGCCCACGTTGTGCAGGAGCCGGCTCAGCGCCTCCACCGTCGGGGGCGAGCACTCGGACGCGTAGTAGTAGCGCTGGAAGTTCTTGTACACGTCTCGCCCGGCGTCCACACAGAAGGCGATGCTGATGAATAGCGCGAATATCTCCTCCGTCGACCTGTGAGTGAACGATCAAGCCAATTAGAGGCGTTCAGGCTTGTGCACATCAAGGCTTGACGAAGGCAGGAGCCGAACGCAGCTTGAGGCGTTATACAATATATAGCAATACCACGCATGCTAGGCTGACTTGGTATATATGTCATGCTACGCTGATTTAGCATATATCACATGCATTTGGTCTCGAACTTTTACTCGCAGATCGAGTTTGTGCCTCTTCTGCTGCATGAGTACCCATCGGACTCATCATAAGCCTGACTACGCAGGGGAAAGGCCTCCCTCATGTCCCACCAATCAATCCAACCCTGTGATTGCTGCTGTCATGTTGTACCTGCTAAGTTCTTAATCTCAATAAACAATTATATTGGGCAAGTTGGCATGAATTCATTTTGGTAGGAAGCGCACAAATTTATTTGACCCTTGAAGTATTTGAGTCGGTTTTCCAGCCTCTAAAACTTACACATGCCATGTAGGTACACGCTCAGGTTCCTTTATCTTTCATTATTATTTTTGGACGACCAAGCTTGCTGGAGCTCAGGAGCAAAACTCCATTGTTTCTGTTCTCTTCTGTGCATCATGAAGTAGTCAGGAGGTCTATCACACGTATGTACAGTTTTGAATCCAGAAAGAAATCGTGCTATCACTTCATGCAGAAGAGCTTCGAGCAACAGGTTTTGTGACTGCAGGCAGCATGTTACCCGCAACGACTGGTTAAGATCATCGCGGAATCCCTCTATCGGGACCTAAAAATACAAAATCGGCCGCGAAACGACACTTTCTTGCAGCAGCGTAAAACGACTGCTGTGGCACTGTAACGCAGCGCTTACAGAATCCCATTCACTGATTTTCTCGAGCACATCAAATAAATATTTTATTCACTCTCGCCAGATACGTGACATCATTCGATTCATTCGACGATATTTGCCGTGAAACATGCATATGCAGGGCCAATGTTTTCCTCCCTCCATCGGCAACAATAGGGAGTTTTCAAATAGGCGACCCAATCACTTTGGAGCCCCAAAGAAATAGCGTTCATGCCACTGCGCATGCGCAAGCACTGGACAGGGTCTCGGTTTTGCCTTGGCGGTGCTATTTTTCGAATTTCGCGGGAGCCCCAAAGCCTGCACCAAACACTTTGCGTCACACAAACGTGACGACTCTCGGCCAAAACTAGGGTGACACAGAATAGGCGTAGCGTCCAAAGCGCCACAGATCCTATTGGAAATATTTTCGCTCCTGCTTGACCCGGAGCAAGGTGTGACCCAAAGGGTGCATACGCGAAAGGCTTTGGGGCCCCAAACTGTCGGACTCCTTTTCGAAAACTCTGTAATTACCTGGAATATACGCCTATGCAGTGTCGCTTTTCCATTAGAGTTCACGTAAATATCCTTACCTTGTGCACCACTTCATCAGCTTGCTGGCGTCGAACACGGCGAACATGAGGAGGAAGAAGGTGTTCCACAGCCCCACACAGGCGTACATGGCGTAGAAGTCTAGATCGAAGTCTTCGCAGATGTTGTAGATAACTGCGAGTAGCAGACACGTGGCGATATCTTGGACGCCGGATATTTCTTTAACCAGTTGTCAAGGCGGATTGCGCTTGCCTTTTGGCTTATATTTTAACCTGGTAACTGAACGTTCCTATTTTTTTTGTAGGCGTTGCGAAGTTTACTTGTTCTATGTCATAGCTTACACAATGAGTAACACGTCTTTCTCAAAGCCTCAACAGTCTCACTCTTGGCGTTCACATATGCTGTCTCAGAAAGTATCATCTAACACGCTGAGGGTACCATGAGTGGTCAACAAACTAGAAAATGACTAGAGTGGACACGGGAACTTGTTGCAGATTGATTGATTGATTGATTGATTACGCTAAGTCAAGACAATGATAACTTCCTGTCTGAGCCTTTCTTCGTTCAACCACAGAGGATCGCTCACATGTTTCTCCCCTCCCGTGGACTAGTTGTCTTGTTAACGATTACAATACACTGAACAGGGTTATGTAGACCGTGGTAATGTCGACGTACAGAATTTAGGCACTTGAACGGTATCGTACTTGGGCATAGTTTAGGGGCGCCAGACTTCAGCTTACGATTTGCCAAATATTTCAAAACAATGTTCAGGGACTAATGGCTTAGGTATAAGGAACACTTTGTTTCACACTAGACGTGGTATGCGAACATTACAGTTGTCGACAAATAAATGCAGCGCGGAAAATGAACACGCACACGAAATATGAACACAGACGAGCCCTCGTCCTCTAAAGTCGGTATGCTTCGTCTGTGTGCGCGTTAATTTTTTCACTATATTTATGTGTAACTATACTACAACAACTATCTGAACCAGCTATCCTCCTGAAGTGGCAGTTATTGCCTACACTGATATTACATGGTGCCTAATGTTTAATGGACGCATGTAAGTGTCAAATGATTGGGATTTATATGAATTTTGTTCTATAAATTGCGCCATGCTGCTCCCACGTAAGGTCTTCCGAGTCACAGTCGAAAAAGCTATGCATCTTGCAGGATGACTACTAAGTGCACTCACTGCAAGATGAAAGCAATCATGTTTCACTTAAAGCGACACTAAAGCGAAAAAACTTAGATTGATAAAGTGTGCTCCGACAACTCTAATCTCACAAGTCCTACTATCATAAATTCGTTATTAGAGGAGAAAATCATGTCTAAAATTTCACTTTAGAATTTCGTGCTCGAATCACCACCCGTGACGTGAGTAATTTCAAAACGCATTTCTCGTATTATCATGACGTAAGCTTAATGAACTGTTCTGAAACTTCGTATGTTTGATCTATGGCTCCCATGGATAACAATGTATTTCATTTTAGCGTCTAGACACTACGTAGCATCCCGTAGACGTCAAAATCTATGACGTCTTGGTGATTCGTGTGGGAAGTGGCGTGCCCAGCCGCATTTTTCTTTTCGAGTGTTTTCTCGGTTACCTAGCGTCGACTAGCGGAGCGATGTTTTCGGGACTCTGAAACAGTACCTTACCGATACGCGTAAAACTAGTTTGCTCTTCAGTGCCCCTTTAAACTGAGAAAAGTTCACGCGAGCACTTCTTACCCTTGATGTACAGGCTGAGAGGGGCAGTGGTCATGAGGATGACCAACGGCTGACCACCAACAGGGCAAAGGAGAGGCCGCCAATGGTTTGGCTGATGATGCATTTGCGGACGTCTACCCAGCCCAAGCCCAGAAAAAAAAAACAGCGTAAGTCAGTGCGTGCTGAGCCATTTAGTAAAGGGAAACCCGGAAACACACTCACCTCCTGCATCACCGACGGAAAGGGAAGGCATGAGAAACAGATCGGAGTGAAGAATGATATCAATATGTGCATGGAACCGACGTGTTCAAACGACCTGCACTCGCTAATGTCGGCTGCAGGCCTTGCAGGTTAGATACAATGTAATTTGGTGGGGGATACGTCAGTAATAACCAATTAGGATTGCGAAAAAAACTCCTACAAAGCTTTGAAGATGAATACATGAAAGTCCGAAGTTTATTAGCAAGTAATAAATGAATATCGATTACAAACACTGCATGGCCCTTTAGCCGAAGCCTAGTATTGGGGCCATTCAAGACATCTTTGTAACTGTAATAATAACTGCGGTTTTACGAACCAAACACACGATGTGATTATGAGAGACTCTGTAGTGGAGAACTCTGGAAGTTTTGGCAATCTGGTGCTCTTCTATGTGCTCTGACGTCATGTAATATACGAGCTTTTATCATTTCGCCTCCATTGAAGTGCGACCGCCGCGGCTGCAGCATAGAACGCACGCGCCTTCAAGTCAGTAGCCTAGAACTGTCACCAGTGCTCTCTCTTTCTCTTCTCTTTCCTCTCTCTCTCTCATCTTTATGCCCCCTTGCCATTCCCCCAGCGTAGGGTAGCAAACCGGGCATGTGCCTGGTTAACCTCCCTGCCTTCTCTCTTGTTGTTCATCTCTCCCCCCTCTCTGCCGAGGCAGTCAAGACTCTGTGGTAGGGCACCGCCGTATTAATTTGGCAGCAGCGTTGCCCTCAATGCACACGCGGTTAGTATTAGGCTTCTGAGCAGTTCAATGTGCCTCGTCGTTGCGTTGCAGGGCTCTCTACACTTCATCGCTTTAGCATCGCGTTGAGTCTGGCTCGCCACTTCCTCGGTCATTGGTGTATTTAGAAGCCCGTCATCACGGGTGATTATATTAGCTGTGGATTTGTTACAGTTAAGCACAATGTGTTTAGAAAAAAATGACGATTTGTAGTACTATGAATACTCTTCTATGGAGAGCGGTAAACCAAATTAATGGAATCGCCACAATGCGTAGAATATCATGCACTAAACACTTTTCTTATATCAACGTAAAGAAGTGGCAATCCCTTTACCTAGCGTTAAGAAAATCATAGCTGAAAGCCAATGCCTTGACGAGACACTAACTACAAACAACTGACTTTTAGCACCATTCGTGTTGACGCCACCGGGTACCGGATCTTTCTACTCATGAGCCACATAACGCTTTCGCCTTAATGCGCCGTTGGTTACAGTCTGTCTAGAATAACTTGTCCCTCCAACGAAATTGTACACCAGCGTCGAATCGCTCGCCACCTATATATAAATTCGAGCTGTTCTTGCGGCGGCGGCTCTAGCTCACTACTATGATTCAACGCTGCCGCAGCTTAACGCATCCTTGCCAGAAACTCCACGATGGCTCAAGGCACGGGCCAGCGACGGGGGTGCCTCTGTCCTCTATGTTGCGGCGCAAGATGTACAAATTAGCGTCCTTGCTGTAACTTCAATACCACTTTTTGTGCTCCCCAGGGGCCAGTTAGTGCCCGAAAGCGGCTCCAGAGAGCTATCTGCAGGCGGTTAGCGTCTTCCGTAAGGCATTATGAAGATATAGCTTTGATCGCCTATGTATAAGCTTTGGCATGGGTCATGGCGGCAGAACGCTCCTCATGCACACTCATTGAGAGAGTTTGTAAGACACTCGCCTATCTTGCCCTTGGTGTTCGTGTCGTTCAGCGCTCCGAAGGCAATGGTTGGCAGAAGGCAGGCAAAATAGAGAAAGAAGATGGTGGAGACGGTCTTGTAGATTGTCCGGTGGCCTACCACTCCTGCGATGCGATGAAGGACGAAGAGGAGGAGGCAAGTGTTGAGGTGATTTATGCGCTGCACCAATCATGTGCTGTTACAGAACACTTGCTTGCAATAGCATGCCTTTATCGGGTACAAAACGCTTGATGTCAGGATTAAAGCTCTCTAGTGCTCCGCTCTGTCTATTACCGTTTACTCAGAGACGATCACTTGAAATGGAATGAAACATTGTCCTAATGACAGACCTTTACTTGATAAACTACTAAGGGTTTTCGCTGCAGCTTTCTATAACTTTATCATTTCTCCTTTTGTGACCGTTTTAGATGTCGATATCACTCCTGCATCGATAGCACACCTGTAACATGCTGCTAAAGTTTTTACACGTGCAACTTAAAATCCCGGGGTTACAGGCTGGATTACAGCTACAAAGGGCCATAATTTCGGCATCCATTAGGTGAACGTGAAATTACGTATGTCCAAGGCAGAGTGAAACTTTAGCTGCACTGAAGATGCAGAGGTAGACGTGATCAAGTACACTGTACCTACTGGAGCTCTGCACTGGGCCCTATATGTTCAAATACGTCCACGTTTGTGGCATGAAAGGCGCCTTGAAGAGCTTCAGACGCTTGAGGAGCTTGAAGAGCGTAAGAAGACGGCTTGTACGGTGTCCGCCGAGGGACTCAAATTACACATTTTTGTTGTCTACATTGTTGTGAAAACATAAGGGCTGTGCTCCCTGCCTGTACGCCTGCTGCATAACTGTCCGTTCTCTGTCTCTCTGGCCATGTGTTAATTACAGATACACCAGAAAGACGCGTTGCTGGCACGTTCAGTGATCGAAGCAGCGAACTGTAAAGTGCAGACTTAGTGACGGAGAGAAATAGGCGCGTACTTACCATCTATATAGTCGCTGACGTAATGCGACAACCGTCGCCGCAGGTCATCGCTAAGACCTTGAGCGATGGGACACCTACGGGGCTGTGTTGTACGAGTCCATTTGGCAGCGTTAAATGCACAAAGGGGAGGGTTAGAGAGAAGGCAAAAGTTTGCGTCAATAACATTGTACTTTGACGGTGACAGCGTTCATTATGTAACAAATCTACTGGTTCTAGATACTACTGCAGGGACCACGGGGATGCTACTGTCCAAATCAAATGCTGATCGCATGGCTGGCACCTTTGGGCGAGCGCGTCTCAGGCTTTCCCCCGTTTTCATAAATGTAGATAACGTTCACAAGAGGGATGCGTGTGGTACGAGTTGAGATTAATGTCAGAGCTGATTTACTGAGTGGATGCGTGCTCAGCATAATGACCGCACGAACTCGTGTCACAGAGAACGCTTTTCTCCTTTCCGACAGTCCTGAATAAATCATAGCCTAGGTCCACACCAGACAGCAACCTTCTCTTCAACCAGTGTGAGTGCTTCCTATTGAATATTGTTTGCTCATTAATTAGGTGAAACGACTTTTTGAGTACCTAGTAAGGCGTCGACAACAAGATGTTTCCTGTTGCCTGTCTAGAGATCTGTATAAGGTGATTAACGTTCATACCCTTCTTCCCTGTCCTGTTCCTTCCTTCTGTCGTTCAATTTGTCTGAAATGTAGTGACGACATCGCATTTTAGTTCATAGGTTCTTTCTTAGCCTTCCCTGAACTCATGGGCGTTGGCATGGGGTTTCAAAACGGGCACTAGCCTCCCTCAAGCCACACCAGCACCTGCACCCTCCCCTTCTCGCTTAGACTGCACCAGCACTTCCCCTCCCCCAGCCACGATGCAAAATGGTTTACCCCCTTCCCCAAGATAAAATTATGCTGACCCCGTGCCTAAAAACCTGTAATAAGTAACAAGACTTTATACTGGGGGCAGTCGCAATCCGGGTGGGTGCACTGCCCCCAGCGTGCTTGCCAAGCGTTCAGCATTGGACGTGGATGGAACTGCGTCTACAGTGCTACGGGTGGGTGCCCTGCGCCTACGCCCTCACCTCACGCTTTCTTCTGGAGGCCTGCTGCTGGAGCGGAGGAGAAGAGGAGGAAGTCGGGAGGAAGAGTGAGGCAGGAAAGAAAGAGAGAGAGGGAACCCCCCCGAAAGGGGGAGCTGCTCAAGATGGTCTCATCTCCACGCATGTGGGTCAGTGAAGCGAGTGCTGCGCGTATCTATACGTGTTTTAATCACAAGAGACACGTCAAAAAGTGTTCACAAACCACAAAGACATCACAATCACAATAATGTCCCCAAACTACAAACACAATCTTGCTCTGATACAGCGAGAAGCAATGTCCGCGGTGCCGAAGAGGAGTCTTCGCCAGTGCGGATGCGTGGTATGGTAAGTCACTGCGCCCTCACTGCACATTCTTGTTGGTTCAAAGTAATATCCATATTATCGGATATGTATTAAGAGCAAACGTATTCTCAAATCTCTTCAGCTTTTTAATCGCTATTTACGCGTGGCGATTAAAGCTTACACCCCTAACAGGGGTAGGAACCTATGGGGCATTTTACCGAAACTGTCACGCAGCAAAACACCAGCCACACGGGCAACATGAACAGGGCACTGTATTCTAAAAAAAAAGGCGGGGAAAGGTGCATTAGACAGACTGCAGTGAACAAGAGCACTAGTTGCCTCTGTTCCAAACCAAGGCCCTAGTTGCCTTTGTTTTATTTACGTCCATGATCCACAGTTTCAGTAAGATATGCAAAAACGAACCCGAACAGCATGCAGTACTGCAATCTTCACCACATGGACGTGAACAAAATAATAAAGTATATTGATGAAAGGGAATCAAATTACGCAGTATGTCAGGCTATCAGTGCACACAAACAGTTCAATAAGGGACACGCGCTTAGCAGCGGGCTATGCCTTAGGGCAAGTCAGGAGTGACGCTCCCGGTTGTGGGTGCCACCGTTTTGTATAGACACCAACCGTCGTGCCTCAGAGTCGGCGAGTGCTATCGAGACGGCCTATCACCGCCGCCACTTACCGGGAAGTCTAACTGTGCCTGCGATCCCCTCAGGTGCACGGGGTTGCTTTGCTCGGCGGCCAGGTCCTGGGCGTGTTTGAGCAGCACGTTCTTGAACTCGGCCTCGGAGTGCACCTCCAGGAGGCGCTGCCGGAAGTCCATGTCGGCGAAGATGGTGGCGAACGTGCGGCCCGTCTCCAGGGCGTTCTTGGTGCCTTTCTCCTTGCTCGGAGTCAGCACCAGTATGAAGAAGCGCACCTCGTGACACGTGCGACCCATGTTGGCCGGGTGTTTGAGCCGCGCCACGGCCACGTGCCGCTTCTGAAGGGACGGCAGCGCGCAACTGCGAGACACGGCGCGAACTCGTCAGCACACTCCACGAACGGACAGTCAGCGTCGAAGGTCCATAGGACACGAATCGCGAGTAAAAACTGCGTATGCATATTTCCGCCCCGTTCCGATAACGTGCTTACACAGTGCAGTTAGACCATATCAATAAATGAATCGAACCTTCATTTAGAAGAAGCCCACTCTCGGCCACAGTTCGGAAATGGGTGACCAAGGGTTAGCTCGGTGTACAGCTAGGCATATTAAACTAATATCACTTCGTGTTAATACGTCATCAGTAGAGGTTAAATAGAGTCGCCCTCACGCGAGATGCTCAGCCTCTGCTACACCTTTAGAAACAGGCCCTTATAGCGTAGCATAAATCGCAGGTGCTCTTTGTGGTTCATCATTACATTGTAGCACAACGCAAAAGTGTCTTATGTCGTCGTATGGCGAGTGTTGGATGTGTGCTCCTACTCATGAGAAAGCGGATGAAACCCAAATGAGGTGACGTAAGTCAGTTCTGCACAATTCTTGACAATCGAGGAGAAGTGCTTGCAATTGCTTGTTGTCCAATTTATTTGAATACAGTCACAAATTGCTGAGAATTTAAAGTTTTCGCAGACCTAAAATGTACTCTAAACTTTTGATGGTGACTGTAGATGGATGATACGCTTACCGTAGTTGGATCGACATTAGAACCTGATTCTAAAGCGTTTATGCAACTTATTCTTGAACCGTTTATTGACTCGTTCACTCCACTGCTAGCCTGAGTGATAGGCTTTAAGCACGCATATATGTGGACATACGCAACTATCAATGACAAAATATTTGCAACATACAGTCTCACAAGGGTACCACAGCCTAACAGATTGCAAGTGAACAAAACAAAAAGCGTTGTAAGCGGCACTCGCAAGCACCACTTACGCTGACATTTTAAGAAAAACTAAATTTATGTTATGAACTATTCCTGATTTCACTTAGGAAAAAATCAACTGCATTACTTTCTAAAACACTCACTTTAAGTACCATTCTATTCATGGCCTGTTCTGTGAGGAAATGTGCTTGTACATGTTTCGAATATCCGTTAACATCCCATGCTACTGCACATTGTTTCCAGTTCGCTCTCTTTTTGGAGACGTATAGTTCGTGGCTCAAATTTTGTGAGCGTGGCAGCTTCGCTGGCCGTTTGCTACCCTTCGACAGCAAATCAGTTTTTTCCTTTCTTTCTTCCTTTCTTTCTTTCTTTCTTTCTTTCTTTCTTCCTTTCTTTCTTTCTTTCTTTTTTTCTTGATTAGCTACGGTGGTCTAAGCACAAAGGTACTCGCTGCTGACCCGCAGGTCGCGGGATCAAATCCCGGCTGCGGCGGCTGCATATTCGATGGAGGCGAATATGCTGTAAGCCCGTGTGCTTAGATTTGGGTGAACGTTAAAGAACTCCGGGTGGTCGCAATTTCCCGAGGCGTGTCTCATAATCATATGGTGGTTTTGAGATGTTAAACCCTACATATCAATCGAAACTTCCGGAGCCCTCCGCGTCTCTCATAATCCTATGGTGGTTTTGGGACGTTAAACCCAACATACCATTCAAATCATTCTTCTTTCTTTCTTTCTTTCTTTCTTTCTTTCTTTCTTTCTTTCTTTCTTTCTTTCTTTCTTTCTTTCTTTCTTTCTTTCTTTCTTTTTTCTTTCTTTCTTTCTTTTTTATTTATTTATTTATTTCCTTCTTTCTTTATTTATTTCTTTCTTTATGTATTTTTTCCTTCTTTCTTCTTTCCTTTCTTTCTATCTTTCTTTCTTTCTTTCTTTCTTTCTGTCTTTCTTGATCACCCCGTAGTTAGGTCATCCGCTCAGTCAGTGAAGCGCACAGCATGGCCGTCAGAGATTGTGAAAGCCAGTGTGGGTTGAGTATAGTGCACCGTGCTCGGAGTAAAGAGTGGCGGCAGGCATCACCATGCCAGCAGATGCGTGTGAGCAGTCGCACCTGTTCCCTGTACGCCGCATCACTATACAGTACTGACGAGCGGGGCGCGGTCGCGTGGGGCTGCGTCCTGAACGGCTAGAATTATACGCCAGGGGGCGTTGCTGTATCATTGCGCTCGCGCTCTATGTTATTAAGCACTTTTGGGCCACGCTCTTAGTTTCTCCTTTCACGCCATCATTGAACGAAGCTTGCGTTGCCATCGCACAGCCGTTTTGTTTTATCGTACTCCTTTTCGTCGTTAGGATGTACTGCAACACTGAATGTCTTAATATGGCGTCACAAAAGAAAGAAAATGTGAGGTCTGATGAAGAACGGTTGGGGTTTGTTTGCACTCCTCTAACGTTGCAGAACTGACGGGAAAATGCTGTGTTTGCTTTTCGTCGTCCTCTCTGTCCTCTTGGTTAAGTGACTGTCGGCACTTCGGTAAATTAAGCGTCATGAATGTGAAAGACACCGGCTGCCTTTCTATCGGGAATGACTCGGTTAGCTCCCTTTATTATACGCATTTTCAGTATTAACGCTGACAGATATTATAAGGCAATAAAAAAAGGGAAATGAAAGGTTCGGCTCGCAAAGACTGCATAGCAGGGATTGTTTGGTGCGGTCCTTTATGATTGCGTAAACCGCGAGGGAGCATCTTGTTTGCATTTCGTCCTCCTGCTCTTTTGTTCCTGTATTGCCGGCCATTTCGGTTAACAAACGTACCAGGGATGTCGAAGACATATCGGCTGTATTCACGGGGGGAGAGATAAAGTTACACAGCCATAAATGACCTAATTGATTGACGTGACAGTTTAGAGTTTCTGAACTGCGTACTCGCGTGATGTCGGAGGCTTTAACCGCTGTTGCCGCATAATATTTAGAGACTTCTCGATGAGCAATGAAGTCTACTTGCTAATACTAAGCATGGCCAATATTTATAAGCTGATTCCACAAAACAGAATCAACTGGATCGATACGTGGTAGTAATAATAGTTGTTTGGATTTTGCGCCATAAAACCCCAATTTGATTGAAAGGGGCCGTAGTTGTGGGCTCCGGAAATTTCAACTAGCTGAGATGTTTAACCGTGCACCTAAACCCAAGCGCACGTACCTCTTACATTCTGCATTCATGAAAGTGGTGCGAGTTGTATTGTAAAGTATCGATTAGCTCACGTATAGAAAGCCCGAAGTCTGCGTTGGTGACCAAACAGAGACACACTGCAAATGCGTGTATCTGCGTTGGTGACCAAACAGAGACACACTGCATAAAGTATCGATTAGCTCACGTATAGAAAGCCCGAAGTCTGCGTTGGTGACCAAACAGAGACACACTGCAAATTATGTTGGGGCTATAATTAAGAACGCAGTAGGGAAGCTTTATGTCAATAACTCATCATCTCAGAGAAACCGTGTGTCAACTTTGTGCGCACTGTATTGAGCTTTGAACACGTTGAAAGTTCTTCCAATCCTTAATTTTTTGTGCGTATGTTCGTGTTTACACTGTTTGAGGTCGCCTCCTGTGCACCTTCCTTATTAATGCGATAGTGTTAAAGAGCTCGTTTCGCAGAAATTCCGGCATCGATGTCAGCGTCGTTGGTTGTGGGCAAAAAATCATCATCTTATGCGTGACCGAAAAATCTTGAACGATGCAAATAAAGCAAATAAATGATAAAAAATTGTGGAGCAGAGTGGGGACCAAACCAGGGTTTCTAGGGTCCAAGTGGGGAACGAACCAGCCTCGGTTGCGTGGCAAGCGGATGTTCTACCACACGGACTCTTAAAGCCTCCTTGAAGTGAGTCGTGGCAAGTCAGAAATATCGCCGAAAAGAGACAAGCACATGTTTTGTTTTTTTTTCTGAGGGCAGAGTGCGAGCATTTTTGAAAAAAAAAAAAAGTTTCAGAAGAAGCCGCTTACAGTGCACAAATCCAGGACTGGTCGTAGTCGAATCCTCCCCCCTCTCGCATACACGTTCCCTGGATCGTCCTGGATAGTAGATGCACTGGAAGAGAGAGAGGGAGTGAACGAATACATTGAGTGTCACGATGACGTGTATGTTGAAGAAGAAGAAAAAGAAAAAGGAGAAGAAGTGTCTCAAAGTCGCATTCATTATTTTCGTTTTATGTTCGTTACTTTTCTAATAAATATTTAATACTGAAAATGTCTAACTCATGTAACCAGTTTTTGGCCGATCCCCTTGAGTGTATACGTCACGTGTCATCATTATCATCATCAAGCCGCATTCTTGGCCAATTCCCCAGAGTGGGTACATGCCATATATGGCAGGAAAAGCAAACAAGCAAAACATCAACGCTGCATTAGTGGTGGAGTCAACTGCCTGCAGTTCTGGGGCTGGATTCAGAAAGTTAGTTATACTTTCGTAAGTGTTCCTGCCATTCGCTGTTCGCCTTCGCTAATTATATGCTCGGCTTCAGGATTGGTTAAGATCTTGTCCTTCAAACAGTTATTTTGCCAGGGGCCTTTTGAAGCACGGGCGTTTATTTGTGTGGCCGGAACGACGACGAGAGCGTTTATCAAATTATGAGAAAGAGGAAAATATTCAAACTAGTAGAGAAGAATGAAACAGTGTGGTTGAATACACACGTCGTCATTTATCTATAAAAATACAGATAGTTATAAGGCAGAGGTGGTATACACTTGAAGTAGTGGAATGTATATTTCAATAACTCGTGAGAGTCAAGTTTATTTTCTGCTTCTATTAGATATAGCCAAATTTTTAAAGTTTTGTTATCGCCCCGCTACACTGTCAGTAATCCTCAGCGCAAACCGCGCCTGCAGTGTTCGAGAAGCTTAACGACTGTAGTGAATTGTTTTGTTAAGATTACCGCTGACTTCGCGAACCTTGCAGATTATTGTGGAACCTGCGGCAGTCCCCGGAAATTCAGCGCTATAGTTTCAGTTCGGGGAACATGTGCGCTCGTAGCGGTTGCCGAGCATCGTAAGATGTAGTTGAATGAAGTGGGGTTAACGTGGATGTTCGAATTTGTTGTCTTTCACCAGTTTTTACGTGTAAAGAAATTTTGACTCAACTGTAAGGTAGGTAAGCAATAAACTTTGTAAGGATGCAACGAGGAATTACTGGCCTGGGCTAGAGCATTCATCATTTGTTGATTCATCTTTTTTTATTCCCTATTGTATGAATTTTTAATCGGGCGAAGCGCGGGAAGACTTGTGTTTAGCACTTGCCTCCGTCCCCCTTGCCAATTGCTGAGTGATATCACATGTTCGATTGCGCTCGGCTGTCTCACTCGGTTAGCGTGCCAAGTATGATTACGGCAAAGATAAGACGTTTGTTGCACCATGCGGCAAATGGAAGCCGCAGTTGGCCTACTGAATCAGGTAAACCACGCATCAGACGAAGAAGACTAAATAGAAGCCTCACTTGTTTTGCGCTGCTCTACAGTGCGTTAACTTCTGGGTTCCCTGATTCGCGAAGGTTTCCGAGGTTTCCTAGTGGCAACGGCTGAGCACAAGTATTTAGACTATTATTTGATGTGATTGATCGGTATGTGGAGTTTAACGTCCCAAAACCACCATTTATTTGAGCAGGTATTGCTTTTGCATGAGTACATGAGTAAAGCCAGTTCTGTGCAAGCCTGACTGGACTGACAAAAGTGCAGTGTCACTAGACTAATTGGTGAAGCCCGCGGCCAAGTTGCTGTTAGCAAAATGCGTTTGTTAAAATGCTTGAATTTATGTTGGCTCGGCTGAATAGGTTTTTGCTTCTTTTGATTTTGGCATGTTGTTCGAATGACTTTCAAGTAATTATAGAATCTTTCCTGTTAGTTAAATTCGTCTAGCCGGGGTTTGAGTTTTTAGTTCAAATTCTGTCAGTCAGATACATGTGATTGACTAAATGCTTCTAAAGATCATTACAGTGAATGTAGCTGGAGCCAACATTCTGACAAAAGAACGTTTCGCCAAGGCAACGCGGTTTCCTTGACGAGGACAAGCCAACTTGCCGAAACACAGCTTCCGGCGACGTTTTCTCTTAAAAAACTTGTTATGGCTTCAAGCCTCTCCATGCCTCTGACTGTTAAGCCTCATTTGGCAACACAAGTTCCGTAAGAGCACTATGGGCACCAACGTAACAAACGTGACTGGGTGAAATAGGACGTGTCCTACTCGTGATCGGTGATAATTTTTACATTGGTTCACATATTCTGGGTTATATGCTTGCTCGTATGTCCATGTACCAGTTGTAAATGAAGCTGTTAATATAGATTGACAGTTTTACACTACGTGTATGTCTCTGTTTTCTCTGCTGGTCGGTTGTCGATAAAAGGAACAGTGCTCTGTAGTAAATCAGTGTTGTAAAAAAAAACATTCCTGCCCACGTTGGACCAAAGCTACATTACCAGATGCAGATAACCACTTCCTAGAGTTGAGACAGATGGTAGGTTTCTTTTTTTCAACACATAGAAACTAGCCGATCGCAATGCCGATAGCACTTCCATGCAACATATTGAGCCGAATGAGACGAGAGATCCTCGCGTTACGCTCTGAGGAGCTTTTCTTTCTCGGGGAGAACGAGTTTCTGCGGCATTGGTCGTGCCCTTCTGTCAATGTTGAACACGAAATGATAAAACTGATTTTTTTACCGACGTGGTGCTAAGCCGCGCCCGTTTATTAGTTACTCAAGATTTCGTTTGCAATTAATTGTTGCAGTGATTCTATTGCTTCATTATACCCTTGTATCAAGATGTTGCATTGAGTTCTTGTGTACATATATGCCAAGAGTGTCATGTATATTAGAGCATTGATGTCTTCATTGCAACGTAGTGATGTTTGTCGTGGCACATAGATGCGATGAAGTGTATGTGCCTTATTACTGGAATGTTATGATACCTTTCTTTTCCTTACATTATGCAAATAATTTTTTTTTTCTAAACAGTTAAGTGTACACTAAACTTTCACGAGCGCTGTTATTCTTGCAAGGACACTTGGTGTGATGGCAGTGGTCATTGCCATTCACACCGTAATAAAGTTTCTCCACTACTACGACTATACTACTTGCTGTTAGCCTTCGAAACTCTTTGTGTAGAAGGAGAAAAGCGCCTGTCTCGTCAGAACGTTTCTTTCGTTTCTGTGTTCTTACTAACCAGCATAGTCCAAGCATGAGTCCCCAGGTGCCTTCTCGTCCAGGCGTCGAGTTTCAGAAACAATGCTTTGCATAGGAGTGAAGTCAATATGTTTCCCGACGTTACGAACCAAAGTGATTTTAAATTTTTAATTCACGGCCTCATCAGTTGTGAGGCCCACATGACGGATGTATGCCCTCACATAATTGAGTACCTTGTACTCTAAATTGTTAACATTTTTTTTATAAACACGGGATGGTGTCTGGAAAGTTGTTCGCAGAGCTTGTCTCTCTCAATAATAGAATACTAACCATCATCATCATCAGCCTGACTACGTCCACTGCAGGACAAAGGCCTCTCCCATGTTCCGCCAGTTAACCCGATCCTGTGCTTGCAGCTGCCAATTTATACCCGCACCTTCCTAATATCATCTGCTCACCTAACATTCTGTCTCCCCCTAACCCGCTTGCCTTCTCTGGCAATCCAGTTAGTTACCCTTAATGACCAGCGGTTATCCTGTATACACGCTACATGCCCGGCCCATGTCCATTTCCTCTTCTTGATTTAAACTATGATATCCTTAACCCCCGTTTGTTCCCTAATCCATGCTGCTCTCTTCTTGTCTTTTAAGGTTACACCTACCATTTTTCTTTCCATCGCTCGCTGCGTCATCCTCAATTTAAGCTGAACCCTTTTTGTAAGTCTCCAGGTTTCTGCTCCGTAGCTAAGTACCGGCAAGATACAGCTGTTACATACTTCCTCCTGAGGGATAGTGGCAATCTACCAGTCATAATTTGAGAGCGCTTGCCAAATTTGCTCCACCCCATTTTTATTCTTCTAGTTATTTCCATCTCGTGGTTCGGCTCCACGATTATTAGCTGACCTAAGTAGACATAGTCTTTTACATTGGAAGTGCACTATTACCTATCTCGAAGCGCTGCTCTCTTCCGAGGTTGTTGTACATTACTTTCGTTTCCTGCAGATTAATATTAAGACCCAGCTTTCTGCTCTCCTTGTCTAACGCCGTAATCATGAGTTGCAATTCTTCCACTGAGCTACTCAGCAATGCAATGTCATTGGCGAAGCGCAGATTACTAAGATACTCTTCATTAACTCTTATCCTTAACTGTTCCCATTCTAGGCTTCTGAAAACCTCCTGTAAGAACACGGTAAATAGCATTGGGGAGTTTGTGTACCCCTGTCTTACACCCTTCTTGATTGGTGTTCTGTTGCTTTCTTTATGAAGCACTATGGTAGCAGTTTATCCACAGTAGAGTTCTTTGAGGATGTTTATATACACTTCATCGACGACCTGATTCTGCAGTGTCTGCATGACGGCTGATATTTCTACTCAATCAAACGCCTTGTCGTAATCTATGAAGGCTATGTATAGTGGTTGGTTATATTCTGAGGATTTCTATATTACCTGATTGATAGTATGAATGTGGTCGATTGTTGAGTAGCCTGTTCGAAATCCTGCTTGTTCCTTTGGTTGATTGAATTCTGATGTTTTCTTTACTCAGTTAGCAATCACCTTTGTAAATAGCTTGTGTACTACAGAGAGCAAGCTCCTAGTGCTCTAAATTAAATTATTATTTTTTTAAATCACTAGTACACAGCGGTGACGGCAATCGTGACAATGGTTGTGACGAGCCCATGAGGAAGAAAGTAGAACACACATGCACACACATGTGCACCTAGCAGACGAAATGTAAGCTGCAACTCGCGCCCCAGTTTCGTTTGGTCACGTGATCAAATGGTGAGTGACTATGAGTGGTGTGGGAAGGCAGCACTGTAAGCACAGCAAATTTGCCGGCTTTGATAGATGTCTCTGTTTTTTTTTCTTTCATACAAAACGTGTAATAAAAAGCTTATTTTAATTGTGCTGATCCACTTTAGT